GGGAAAATTTTTTCCGTGTCCGCGAACGGAACCGTGTAATTTAATTTTCCGAAGTGTTGTATAAAATTGTGCCACAATTTTTCAGTAGTGCAATAACCAAAACGTGGCAAATAAATCCGTGTAATATAACGGTCTATGTGGTAATGCTTCTCTCACACTGCTAGTATTGAGGCTCCATCACACCTTGGGATAAATGACCTACAAGGGTTTAGCACTTCACACAAAAGAAAATGGAGTAGTACACAAATAACTTGCACACAGAAGAAGCTTACGATGATGTTTCAGTTCGGCTTGAATCATTTACAAGTCACACCAACAGAAAAGAGTCAGGGAGCCAGTATATATATACAGTGGACCCCCGCATAACGATTACCTCCGAATGCGACCAATTATGTAAGTGTATTTATGTAAGTGCGTTTGTACGTGTATGTTTGGGGGTCTGAAATGGACTAATCTACTACACAATATTCCTTATGGGAATAAATTCGGTCAGTACTGGCACCTGAACATACTTATGGAGTGAAAAAATATCGTTAACCGGGGGTCCACTGTATATATATATATATAGGTGAGGGCAACAGGGAGGAGACAGAGAGAGGAAGAAAAAGTAGTGTTAGTGGAAGTAGTAGTGGTAGTAAAAAAGTAGGGGAAAGTAGTTTTTGTGGCACAAGAGATAGAAAGTGAAGTGAAGAGTGAAGAGAGGAAATAGTAGTGGTAGTAGCAATAGTAGTAGTCATGGAGTGCAGGTGGTAGTAATGGAATGGAGGCAGTAGTAGTAGTATTAGTGGTGGTGGTAGTATTAGTGGTAGTAATAGTATTATTATTATTAGTAGTAGGGCAAGTCTAAAGACAAGAAAAATGAACAGTGCAGGAGAGCTAAGGACCCACAAGGGGTAGGACCATAAACATGGGGGGGAAATGAAACTGAAGGACAGAACACACTTAAGCAGAAGAAAGAAAAACAAAGAAAGAAATCAGAAAAAAAAATAGGAAAGGAGAACAGGTAGGGAGAGGAGGAGAAGAGAGGGTCAGGTCAAGTTATGAGTGTTCTGAGGTTTGGGAGCATTTTGACAATGTAATCATAAAGGAAGGTATCTACAGAGACAAAGTCAGGGCTAAGTTGTGTGTAAGGGATGCTTCAACAAGACGGCGACTGTGAAGGTTAGAAGTAGGTAGAGTCCTGGTCAGGGATAGGTATCCAGTATACACCTACCATCTGACTTACCCTGCACGACATTCGACTTATGACCTTGTTTTGTATGCCAAATTTATGGGAAATAAACAACTGTTTGTGATGTACACAGTGTTTATCCTAAACCTTACAGTATAAAACACAGTACTAACAACATAAAAGTAATGTAAAAAAATGAAATACCAGAATAAAACAATAAAATAAAGTCTTTTAAAAAATGTGATGTTGATATTCAGTAGCAAGGCTCGACTTACGTCCATTTTGACTTACGACCATTTGGTCGGAACCAAGCTCGATCGTTAAGTCGGATGCTGGGTGTATATTGTATGGCATTCCAGAGTGACTCTCCCAAGATTTACTAACAGAAATACAGCTACTAGTAAAAACTCACAACGAATTATTACATTTGATTTGAGTTGGTTTGGTGAGGTGTTTATGTAAATATTAGGTGACAAATGGTTTAAAAAGGTGCATGAGCAAACACTTGGACATATGTATTTATTAGAAAACATTTTGGTCCTGGACCTTGTATTAAGGTCCCAGGACCAAATGTTTTCTAATAAGTATGTTCTAATTGTTTGCTCAGTTTCTTTCAAAACCACTTGCCATTATTGATTACCAAGCTGACAAAAGTGGTGAATAAAAAGGTTGTAGTATATTGATTATTACAATTTGTACTGCTCTTCCCTTGAGGGGGTTTACAAGATTTCTCTCTTTATTTATGATGCATAAAACAGGTCTTCATTTATATTTAACCCTTTGACTGTCGAAAGCCCCTTTCTGAAACTGTCATTCTATGTCGCATTATTTTTTGGAAAAAAAAAAAATTTTTTTCTTATGAAATGATAGAGAATCTTTTCCTGATGGTAATGACACAAAAGTACAAAATTTGGTCGAAAACTCACAGAATTCGCTCCTGCGAAGTTAGCAGTCTTGGCGACATATACGCATCAGCGATTTCGCCGACTTTGAGTCCTGTTTTTGGCCAATTCCAGTGTTCCAGTTGACCAAACTCATAGCTATTTCTTTAGAACTCCATTTTTTCTATCAGTTGAGTATGAGAAACCGCCCATATACCGATTTGAACTACCAATAAAGTGGTCAGAAATTGGCAATTTGGCCAATTTCACGCAAATTAAAAAAGATGCCAATTTCAAAATAGGGTCCAGAATAAACAATGTAGACATTCTTGGTACTAAAATAACATATCCTCTGTTCATTAGTCATGTCTCTAGGCCCCTCTTATATTACTATTGTTTTCTATTTTGATTTTTATTCATACAAAAATACAAAATTTACTGCTTTGCAGACTACTGCATTATTGTAAAAATGGTATAAATATAATATCAGTGCACTAGTGAAAGAATATTAGACTCCCCAGTTGACGTGTATTGGAGTGTGGTGTGATTTGCTTACTCCTGAACATTGGTAAAAAATCGAACATTTCCGCTACTTTGAGCTCAATTTCAAGGTCGTTTTCATCGTGAAACTAATTAAAATCATCTCTATTTCTGTAATATGTTTTCCATTTTATCACCTGAGACCATGAAAATGAGAATACAGTGGGCTCTCGACCAACGATATTAATCCGTTCCTGAGAGCTCTTCGTTAGTCGAAATTATTGTTAGTCGAGTTAATTTTCCCCATAAGAAATAATGGAAATCAAATTAATCCGTTCCTGACACCCCAAAGTATTGCAAAAAAAAATTTTTTGCCACATGAAATATTAATTTTAATACACACAAACTAAAGAAGACATGTACAATTACATGACACTTACCTTTATTGAAGCTCTGGTGATGATTGATGGGATGGGAGGAGGGGAGAGTGTGAATGGTGTTAGTGTTTAGAAGGGGAATCCCCTTCCATTAGGACTTGAGGTGTCAAGTCCTTTTCCGGGGTTACTTCCCTTCTTTTAATGGCACTAGGACCAGCTTGAGAGTCACTGGACCTCTGTCGCACAACATATCTGTCCATAGAGCTGTGTACCTCCCATTCCTTTATGATTTGTCTAAAATGGGCCACAACATTATCATTGTAATAGTCACCAGCACGGCTTGCAATAGCTGTGTTAGGGTGATTTTCATCCATAAAGGTTTGCAGTTCAACCCACTTTGCACACATTTCCTTAATCTTTGAAGTAGGCACAATGGATTCCACAACTGGCATAGGCGTTTCAGGGTTAGCCCCAAACCCTTCAAAATCTTTCTTAATTTCCATACTAATTCTCACCCTTTTTATCACAGGGATGGCACTAGGTTTCTTGGGGCCCATGGTGACTTATTTTGCAGGTGCAATCACTAAAAACGCTGTGATAACGTGAAATGTTCCGATTGTATGTTTGGATGTGACCGCGGTAGCTAGCTTGTAAACACTGCGCAGGCCACACGTGGACGCGTCTCGAACGGAACAAATCGCATTGGTCGAGTTTTTTAGCGCTAGTCGAGGCAAAATTTTTGCGTTAAAATGTATCGCTAGTCGGATTTAACGTTATATGATGCCATCGTTGGTCGAGGGTCCACTGTACAACGATAAATACTATACGAAAATACACCTCAAAGTCAGTGTTTTAATCCAAAAACACGGTCGTTTTTTTTTTCTCATTATGCGCTGCGTGCTGCAGGATTTTTTTATGTGGTGCACACTGACCACACAGACCCATTCTCTCACATGTGGGCCTACCAGCTTTCTCCTGCTTGATTTGAAGCCACTAGAATTTATGCGTATCAATACGTCCGAAAACACTGGCTTGTAAGACGTATATATACGACCAAACACAGTCAAAGGGTAAAGAAAAAAAATGTTACTGGGTTGTGTAAAATGTTCTTTGGGTACTCTCTTCAAGGAGAGTTCTTGTTGCTGTTGAAGGACTTGATTCAGGGAATTGGAGCTGCCCTATTGTCCTTGGAGCAAATCTGATTAAGCTCTATTTCACAGGCATCTTTTAACCATATGGGTTTAGCATTTTTGCCTGTGCACTGTTATATAATAGTAATAGGATGGTAAACAGCAACTGCCCAGGAAGGTAGTACTACCATCCTGCCAAGTGAGTGTGAAACAGAAACATGTAATTGTTTTACATGATAGTAGGATTGCTGGTGTCTTTTTTGTCTCATGAACACACAGGATAACAGGTATATCTTGCTACTTCAACTTACACTTAGGTCACATTACACGTGCATGTACCTGCATATATATTTACACACCCATCTGGGTTTTCTTCTGTTTTTCTTTATAGTTCTTGTTTTTTATTTCCTCTAATCTCCTTGGGGAAAGTGGAACAGAATTCTTTCTCTGTAAGCCATGCATGTCGTAAGAGGCAACTAACATGCTAGAGCAAAGGGCTAGTAAAACCCCTTCTCCTGTATACATTACTAAAGTTAAAAGAGAAATTTTCATTTTTCTTTCTATGCTACCCTGCCTTGGTGGGATACAGCCGATTTGTTGAAAGAAGAAAGAAGACAAATAATATAAATAATATTAATATAATAATACTTTGTCTTCATGGGGAAGTGGAACAGAATTCTTCCTCCATAAGCCATGTGTGTCGTAAGAGACGACTAAAATGCTGGGAACAAGAGGCTAGTAACCCCTTCTCCTGTATACATTACTAAAGTTAAAAAGAGAAACTTTTGTTTTCTCTTTGGACTACCCTGCTTTGGTGGGATATGGCCGGTTTGTTGAGAGAAGAGGAATAATAATACTTTTGATGATTCCTTGGTTCTTGATAGGAATTATAATGTAAAGAGTAGTCAGTGAATTTCTTTATGGTTAGTGTGATTACATATTTACTTTTTCATAATTTCAGTCAAGATGTTCACAAATCAGAGCACATATTCCCCATATAACTGTGAGCGCAAAGAAGAATTCATCAGGAGAGGACAATGTAAGTAATAAAAAATTGCTTTATTAGGTTATATTTTTAGATTACCTATAGCTTAAGTGCATTTTTTTTAGTTTTACATTTGTATGTACAAGCTTTGATGTGTGTGTACAGCAAGATATGTACACAGCTATATTATATGTATGCAGAGCTGTATGTATCCAAAGCTACATTTATGTATACAGAGCTACATTATAGGTATACAAAGCTACATTATAGGTATACAAAGCTACATTATATGTACACAAACTACATATATGCAAAGCTACATTTTATGTATGCAATGCTACATTTTATGTATGCAAAGCTACATTTTATGTATGCAAAGCAACATTATATGTATGCAAAGTTACAGTATGTGCAACCATTGTTTGCATCCCATTTTTTAAAGATAGGTATGGTCATGACTTTATTTAATTATTTAATGTTTCAGAGCAGTGTTTACTAAATTTTTGCTCAGATACATGTACTGTCAAGGATGTTGATGCTAGTGAAGGACTCTTGATCCAAACAATTGGAGTTAATCCCTCCTCTTCTCTCCTCTCCTTAGATCAAACCTAATTATCTTCCATGCCCCAAGCACCATATATATAACTCTTTCAGTTTTAACACAACTGCGAATATACAGTGGAACCCCTGATTTCGTCCTAATCCGTTCCAGAAGGTCGGTCTCAGTACGAAACGGAGACTAATGAAATGGGTAAATGAACATTTAGCATCACACTTACCTTTATTGAAGACTCTTGTTAGGGTATGGATGGCAAGGAGGGGAAAGGGAGGAGGAGCAGAGGTTATTGTTTGGAAGAGGAATCCCCCTCCATAAGGACTTCAGGTCTTAAAACCCTATCTGGGATTACTTCCCTTCTTTGTCTTTTACTGGCACTGGACCCCTGATCACACTAAAATCTGTCCAGAGAGCTTCTGTTTCTGGCATCTCTTCAAGATTTGCCTAAAATGGGGAGAAGATTGTCACTGAATATGTTGCAGATACGGCTTGTATCAACATGGTGGTGGTTTATTTCGCAGTCGCACTCAATAAGCAAGCACAAAAAACACTGGATTATTACAAAATGTTTCGGAATGAATGCTCACTTAACCAGTGACAGAGCCAGACTGAGACACGTACACATGAGTGGGTGCATCCTGAGCGGGCGGATGCGTCTGATACGGGCGATTTCAGGGACGAGGTACAATATCCGGAGTAAAATTTCACCAAGAAAAGTGGTCGAAATCTGAATTGTACGATATCCAGTGCCGACAGAATCCAGGGTTCCACCGTACCAGTGATTATAATTTTCCCCCACAACTATTTTTTCTTAAAATACTGATAGTATTCTACCAAAAAATAAAGTAAGATCCTTTGTCAGGAAAAGGAGCTGCTTTGTTTTGGTGGGTTAATGACCTCCAGAATGTACTAGGATCAGTGTGGTTTGTTTCAGCTCCTTATACATGACTACACCTACCATCTGACTTACGACCTGCTCGACTTACGACCACTCGACTTACGACTGTGTTTTTTATGCCAAATTTCTGGGAAATAAACAACTATTTGTGTTGCACACAGTGTTAATCCTAAACCTTACAGTATAAAATACAGTACTAACACATAAAAAAGTAAAGTAAAACATGAAATACCAAAATAAAACAATAAAATAAAGTCATTACAAAAATGATTTGTTGACATTTAGTAGTAAAGTTCGACTTACGACCATTTCGACTTACGACCGGTTTCTCGGAATCAAACTCGGTCGTAAGTCGGATGGTAGGTGTATTTTACTAACCAAGTGTTTTATGTTGACCAATTTTGGAACAGTTAAATTATCATGTATATTACACGCTCAGAATTATGTGGACTAATAAGTATTTTGTATTCCAGGTATCAACAGAAACCCAGAGTCATGGAGAAGTGGATCTGTTAACCAAATTTGAAGCAGACGTAGTGACTGCTGAGAAGCTAACAGGAGGGGACATGAACATCCTACAGACCTTGGGCGAGGTTGCGGGTAAGCGCAGAATAGACTATAGTGACCTGGGTTTTGGATCGCCGAAACTTAAGAAGAAAAAAGAGGAGGGTGTCAAGAGGGGATCAGATATTGGGCAAGCTGTTTGTGTACAAGATGGTTGGCAGCAGAAGTGTGGGTAATAAGCTGCAGAGGGTTGTGATTGAACATAAGGTGCGTATTCTTGAGCAGCCTAGGAGAGAGAATGCTGAAGAAGATATGCGTACTGCATCAAAATGGTTCAAGTGTTCTAGTGTGGTTTTACATGTACCAGATTGAATGTAATTATTTGGCACAATAAAGCACACATAAACAAGGTTTTTAATTTATGATACAGGTATCAAGATACCTGGGAGAAGGAAAAGAAACAAGGTACCCCAAAATCAAACAAAGATTCGAAAAAGAAGGCCAAAACTGCAAAAGGTAAAGAGAATTTGGACCATGCACACACCAATGGGGAAATATCAGGTTCTAAGAAGGACATTCAAGATACACAGCAACTATTGATGGATTGGGATGATGATGATGATGATGGAATGGATGGTGAAAGATCTAAAACCCTTCCTGGAGGCTTAGATAAAGAGGAAACAAATAATAATTCAGATGATGGCTACAGTGACATTGAGGATTATCTCCTCCACACGCCAAGTATGAAAGAAGACCCATGCCAAAGGCTTCTGATGTCAATTCTGCATTTGATGCTCTGCTTGCAGCCACACTGCAAATCCAGTTACTACCCTCCTCCAGTCAGACTTCAAATTACATAAATATGATTCAGATAGTGATACAGTGACTGGGAAAAATATTATGCAAGGGATTCTGGGTCAGGGTCTGAAGACGAAGAAGTGGAGCAAGAGAGTGACATTAAGTCTCTCTGTGAAGGGAAGGAAGGAAAGGCAGAGGGAGGTGAGGATGCAAATTCTCAGGCAAAACAGGAAGAAAAGGATAATGTTGCAGTGTGTGTAAGAGCAGAACCCGTAGGTGAAACAGACCATGAGGAGCATATGGAAAATACTCCATCACCTAAAATTGATAATGTAGAAGATGGCAAATCTCGATTCCATAGTTACAATTATCAACAAGAGGAGCTGACCCCAGAGCCTGAGGAAGATGAAATAAAACAAAGCACTTTAACACACATTATGAACCAACAGAAAAATATGGGTTAACCCAAACAGAAAATATAGGTGAACCAACAGAGAATACGGGTTGAACCAAAGAGAATATAGGTAAACCCAACAAGAATATAGGTAAAACCAACAGAGAATACAGGTGAACAAAAAACTATACAGTGAAGCTGTAAAAGAAAGGTAAACCATCAAAAATTAAAAAGAATCTACTGAGTGAATAAACTGTCTCTTAACTGATAGTCACCTGAAGTGTTGAAAATTACGATGAGGTTGAGAAACCCCCGAAGTTATCATGAATCGATGAGGTTAGTCAAGAACCCAGTAAAGGTATTTTTGAACCCATGAAAAGTTTTTTTAAACCAACAAAGATTTTTTTTTAAATCAACAAAAAAACAGAAAAATTAGGGGAAAGACAGAAAAACCACAAAAGACACAGAAAAACAAAAGATGCTGTTTGAAACAGCAAAAGGTACGAAACCAGCAAAAACATTTATGAGCCAGCAGAAGCATTTATGAGCCAGCAGATGAAATTTAGAACCACAAAAAAATTTTTCCAGCAGATGAGACTGATAAATCAAAAGACACTTTGAACCAGCAAAGTCACATACGAACCAGCAGAAGCTGAAAAGCCCCCGGGAAAGGGTTTAAAAACCAGTTTAAAAGCTTCCAAATTTGAAGCCCTTTTCAGTGATAAAGAAGAGCCTTTAGTGGTATGCAGCTGAAAGAAGGTTGCACCAATAAAATCACTCTAATCCTTTAGATAATTTTCGAAAAACCAGATGACGTACTTGTGAATTTTCCTTTTGCCAGCCGTTGAGGAGACCAATGAGTAAAGCAATACATTGAACAACTAACTCAAAAATTGACAAATTAAAAAAAAATAAAAAAAGGAAAATTTACACAAAATCTTTTTTCATCTGGCTGAGAGTGCAGCAGTTGTTGAAATGCTCATGAAATGAGAGGAAAGAGAGTGGTATAAATCTGTGGAGATTTTCTGATTTTTCTTATCCCCCAGAGCCCCCCCCTCAAAGACAGACACTGAACTTGAAGATGGGTCGATCCGGGGAAGACAAGTGATTTTCCCCAACCCCTAAAGTTCGGGTACAACTTAATGTTGGTAGCAAAAATGTCAGGTAACACTGTCCCTACTGTTCCTACACCAGCTTTAGTGGGGGGGGTAATGACCTTGTAGCGTGGAAGCTACCAGGAAAAAATGGTACTACCGCACACTAACATAATCCTCACATTTGGGGCCCCAAATGAGATTTAAATAATTAATGCTTCATATTGATTCAAGGGGGTCAGGAGATGTTATCACCCCCACATCTCGTCGTCCGATTCAGAAACTCCAATTCAAAAATTCCCCTCGACAAATACCCACGCCTTCAAAGTTTTTCAGAGCCCTCAAAACAGAAGTACCTACCCGCCGAAACACAGGCTTGATCAGTGAATTATGTAAAACCCCAAAAGGGGCAAAATCATTACAGCCCTGCTCGGCCGAAGGGGTGAGAGTTCTAAAACTAGGGGTGCCCTAGAAAGTACTCTGTGACTTTTGATTCACTTCTTAGTTCATTCTGTGTGATAAACCTGATTTAACAAAAAGTTGTTTTTCCCCTTTCCTTCGGGAAAATATTGTATTTTTGTGTTGAATTGCCCCATTTGGGATACTGTACGTTTGGGGGGGTTTTCCCGTATAACTATCTCACTACATTAAAAATTTGGGTATGTGGTTGTATTGCAAGGGGTTTAGTTTTTTAGTAGAAAAAGTATGCATTTTGGATAGTACAATTTCAGAGATAGTCACTAAATTCTTGTATGTAAAAATCAGTACTATATGTAAATTTTTTCAAAAAGTGCACAAACCCAGATTTTCCACAATAAGACTTCGCTTAATTTTTTACTCTTAAAATCGTTGAATTAGTTTTCATTCTACTTCTTTTTTAGTTCTATTTTTATAGTTTTTTTTAGTTGCAAGTAGATGAAATTTTTTTTTTTTATTTCCCCTCTACAGAGTGTTTTCCTTTCATTTTAGTGAGTAATATAGCACTTTTTTTTTTAAAAGTGCAGTAACCCACCTTTTTGACATTGTCATAAATATTAGACATCTTTTTCCCTTACATTTTTTATTTCTGGTAGTAGGGCAAGCCCTAATTGGTTCGTTTTGAGCTTTTCTTGTAGCTATCTGGTTGCTATCATTTTTTTTTTTAGACAGACTTGTTAAGACATTTGTAATTTTGGGGTGTTATTATGGAAAATATCACCCTATGTATTTTAAAAAGAAGACAAATCAATAATGACTTATAAATTTTTTTTGCAGCTGAATTTAATTTTTATCGTTTTATATAAAAATTTATGTAAGACTTAATCTCTCGTCTATTTTTTAAAGAAAATTTTAAACTTTTTTTTGTGTTGAAAAAAATACAGTAAACCCTCACAGCGTGCGGGTTTACTTTCCCTGAAAATGAGTTTTAGAAAAAAAGTTTTGCATGAGGTGAAGAACATGGGGGGAAAGGGGGAAACTCCAGACCCCTTCAAATTTGCCAGGCAATTTTTTAAAATTTTACGGGGTAAAAATTCCCTGTTCATTTATCTTACATTTAGTTATTGCTTGTTAGCAGGGAAAATGTGGGGAAAAAAGGTTTTTGTACTCTTCTGGGCTGGGTGGTTGGCTAGTTCTTGTGTTTTGATTTGGTGCAGAGTTGTCAGTAGTTGAGGTTTTTTCTGGAATCTAAAGTTTTCCCAATGCTTCTCTGTTTTGTTTTACTTGCAGCTTTATAAAAGTGATAAGGTATAATCACCTGCGCGAACCCCACTTCACAGAAATCTTTTGACATTCGGGCCTGTTCAGGAAAATATAACGCAAATTCCCAATAATATAAGAAAGTGCTTGTGTAGTTTTTGCAGTATTAACTATTTACCTCCGGTTCCCCCTCCCTCTTATTCATCTGTACCCCTGTGGATTGGGTCCAGTAATTCTTGTGTAGTTGGTTCTTATCTTTTCTAAGATTTTCATTTACATCTTCTTCATACTCAGTTTTGCCAGCCCAAAATTTCTGGGCTCATTTTTTGCTGGGGGGGGTAAACCAGAGAAATTATTTTCCAAAAAGCCATAATTAATTAGCCTTGTTAATGTTGATTATATACCTTGACCTATGTCTGGTCACCAGTCTCAGAGCTATATTAAATGTTGTGATGTGTTTTTTTCCATTATCTTGAGGTGTGGTAGCACTCAGTTTTTTTTTTAATTACTCGATCCAGGGGCTGTATCAGTCACTGCAGGAATAAAATAATTAGACCCTTAAAAAAGACGGGGCCCTCAATTTTTCAACGCCTTGTTAGGCTCCAAAAAACAGGCAAAAAAAGTTTTGTCTTGAATTTTGTCAAGTTTTTACGGCTCACATTGTGCCTGAAAAGCACCTAAATTACGGGGAAAACACCGAAATTTTTTGAACATGATTCAGGGAGCAGGGGAGAGAGAGGGGGAGATACTATAATATATTTTGGGAAAATACTGTGGGCCGGGTCCAAAATCTGCACCTGCCTAAACAAAAACGGTGAGATATGGAGTAAGGTAAAATAAACCCAGGGGGCAGGGGGTGCAGGGGGGGAAAATAGGGGAAACTATCAAATCTGGGGCCCCAGATTATTCAACTCTTACAGAAGATACAAAAAAAACCCGGCGGGGGACAAGTGTAAAAGCCTTCAAGAGGAAAGCGGAAAAAGTATCTTAACCAGGTCCCAGATCAACCAGGCTGTGGGGGAATGTGGGACAGCA